TTTCAGTGTTCATGTGACAACGTTAATATATTGACGAGTCCTTCATCATCGAAGTGTTGATCTGATGACAAGACAGCTGACAGATACAGAAGTCAAATAAACCATTGTCAGCTTTAAACGTCTAGATTCTTGTGGGTGATGCATGTGTGTGTTTTTTTTTATAGGACAACGTGAAGTCGTTCTATCGCACACTGATCAACTTCCTGGCTCACAACAGTCTGACCGTGGTGGTCTTCACGCTGTCCATTCTGGCCAGCCTCACGCTGAATGAGAAAGTCGGCGAAAAGGTAAACGGCAAACAACTGTGCGATGATCCGCCTGCATTTAAAACTCCGCGGCAGCAGATTAAAATGCATTTTTACCCGTTTAGTATTGCACATGTGTGGAGGTTTTTTCAGCAGCCACGTGCATCCTCTCTCCTAAATTACAGAAAAGGTTGCGGTGTGATGAAAAGTCCCCTTGGTTTAAAATAAAACCTTGTGATTTGCATAATTTCTAGGCGGCAGCAGATGACTTTTTGAAAAGACCAGATTGCTTTCAGTGTCAAGCAGCTCCCCACTCTTCCCCTGGAAGATGCGAGTGTGTCAAGCAGACTGAACGGCTGCTAGAGTTAGCAACATGGCAGTACTCCAAAGCAAAAAAAAAAAAAAGCAACAATCCCAATTAGAAACAGAAATCTTGATCTCAGAGCTGTGATGAAGGCAGAGTAACACATCTGGTTATATTAATAAGCACCTGAATGTTCTTTAGTCCACCCAGTCACTGCCTCTCTGAGACTCACTTAAAGTTATGGTATGATATTATAAAAAAACCCTGACATTTAGCTTTTCTGCAAGATAATCACGACTTCAATATGAAGAATTCCAGCAATTTTCACCAGATTACTTGAATAATTCTACTTAAAATGAAGGAATCGTTCTAAAATGATTGCAGAGAGTGTGTTTGCATTAAAAATAAAAAAATAAAAGGAACGTTTATGACAGGGGCTGCAAGGTGGCTCAGTGTTTAGCATCGTCGCCTCGTAGCAAGAAGGTCGCCAGTTCGCGTCCCGGTGAGGACATCCGGGATCTTTCTGCGTGGAGTTTGCATGTTCTTTCATGTTCTCTCCGGGTTCTCCGGCTTCCTCCCACAGTCCAGAAACATGTTGAGGTTAATTGGTGATTGTAAATTGTCCGTAGGTGTGAATGTGAGTGTGCTTGGTTGTCTGTCTCTAAGTGTAGCCCTGTGATAGACTGGTTACCTGTCCAGGTGAACCTGCCTTCACCCTGAGTCAGCTGGGATAGGCTCCAGCGCCCCACCACCCTAGTGAGGACCAAGCGGTGTATAGATGATGGATGGATGTTTAGTACATAGTGCAACACAGATAAAGGCGTCTGATATAGTTTTAATTCATTGTTTTTTGCACTCGTCACATAAAGCTTTGTGGTGCTGAGTTAAACAGTCAAACTAGTTTATTGTGTAGCAAAGATAGAGCTGGATAATTAATCAGAATACAAGTACAAAATCCAAATCACTGGAGATTTCTGATGATGGTAAAAAAAAAAGGGTCAAAATGCATAATTTTGAAATGAAGCATTGTTGTCTACAAATATTCCTGTTTGGTACAGACGGCAGCAAAAATGAAGAAACGCAAAAAGTGCCATGAAAATTGTGACGGCTTCATGATATCTGTCAAAACAATCTCAAACAGATGTCGTATATTGTTCAGCTCTAGTGCACGACGCTGCTGAAAGAACCTGTTTTCGGTCAACATCCTTTCTGTCGCTGAAATATTTCCATACAACTGATGTCAAGCTTCTATTTGCAACCAAATCTTCCTTTTCAGTGTTTCCGTCTTGTTGCTCTGTGTATGTCTCTGTATTTTTTTTTTTTAAACAGCTCTGTGTTTCCGAGAAGCCTTAAATCAGAGTAATTCTGTCTTATCAGATGAACTTCTGTAGCAGATGAGTTACAGAACACGAGAAGTGTGAATAGAGCCTTCAGTTTCCCGTGAGATTATCGACCCAGTGACAAAGCGAAACTAATTTAAATCATTAAGTTGTAGCGGTCACAGTGGGCTGTCATGGTTTAAGGATTCAGTTGTGTACAAAGTGCTGTAAATGGATCATCTTGTGAGGCTGACAGTTCACTTTCTGACCTTTTCAAGAGTGAGACGTTTATAGTAATCAATCCGTGGCATCAGAGGTCACACAAGTGTTTCCTTTTTCTTTGGTTTCTGAATATAGCTTGGGGTTTTGTTTTTGTTTTTCCCCCACAACTGTTTGTTCCTTTTTATGTGTTCCTCTTTTCACTTCTGGTTCTCGATGACTTGCTCACATCCTACGTCTTCACAGGCTGACGTGTTTGTGTGTTTTCTTATCAGCTCTTTGATGCAAAGAACATCCACCAGACCTTCCAGCTCGTGTTCAACATCATCGTGAACGGTGACGGCACTCTGACCAGGAAGTACTCCGTTGACCTTTTGGTCGACCTGCTGAAGAACCCCAAGATAGCAGATTACCTGACGAGGTGCACAAGTTTCTCACGCTGAGCGTTCAACCGCAGCGGTTCCTTCAAAGACCCACCTGCTGTGTTCTCGCTGTGCTGTTGTGTAAAGCCCTTTTTCTGTTTGTAGGTATCAGCACTTCTCAGCATGTGTGTCCCAGGTTTTAGGACTGCTGCATTCAAAAGACCCCGACTCTGCAGCCAAGGTGAGGTTCCTGCTAGATGGCACACCGTTTGTTTATCAGTCCCCAGTTACACACTGACAACAAACTATTAAAGACCTGCAGCCTCTCTGATGGTTCAGCTCAGATCAAACCATCACGTCTCATCCACCCAAAACCTGAAGAAGTTCAGTTTTCAGAGATACAAGCCAGAGAAAAGCAGCAAATCCTCACGTTTACTGCAAATAAACGGCTGCAGTTGATGATTACTTTCATTGTCAAATACTCTGTTGTTTTTCTGATCAGTTATTATTATTTATTTATTTTTATTACATTTTATTTCATTCTTTGAGTTAAGACAAAACAATTAAACATGACACAAACGTTCCTGACTCGTGAATGAAAAGGAGCAGAAAGAAGAACAATCTGATGTTATCTGCCTCCTTTACCCAAAGAAATGCATTTACAAAACACTTAAATTACAAAAAGCATCAACAACAACACAATAAACATCAAAATATTCACAACAAAAACAATAATAATAACATGAAACAGCTGTCCTTCAAAGCTGACAGTCACGTTTTACTTTAGATACATTTTCTTTAATACTCTTTTTTTTAAAAAAAAAAAAACAGAACATGTGACATGATTACTGCCTGTCTTTACAATCAGACATAATGAACACATCTCCTCAACATACCGGCTTTAATTGGTCTTTTAAATGTAAATATTGATTTTGATTCTTTGGTTTCTTTGTCCAGATTGTTCCACAAACCGATTCCTTTCACAAAAAAACAACGCTCCGTCACTTTTGTTCTGGATCTGGGTTTTTAAAAGATCTCGGTTCCTTTTAAATCAGACTAACTTTTTTCAAATCTGCTCTGAAGTTGTTTGGTCTGTAAAATATCAGAAAATCAAAATGACATGTTTTAATATTCTCAGAGCAAAAAACCAAAAAATTATCAAATTTTGGTTGCATTTTTCTCTTTTTTATTCTTAAATAGATATCCAGATTGATTATCAGAATTGTTTGCGAATAATCGATTAGTTGGTAATTGTTCAGCCGTAACAGGAAAATGCATTAAGTTCTGTCTCATGAGAAAAGATAATACTTGTCAGACATTGCTCAAAAATCTGAAATACAAAATTGCATAACGTGAGAAAGCAAATAAAAAGCAATAAGATGCAAATATAAAACTGATTTAAAAATTAAAAAAGGAAACTCAGATTAGAAGGAAAAAGCAAGAAGTAATGCTGACAATCATTCTGGGGCAGTTAAGTAACAAACACACGGTAAAGACATATCGCACCTGACGATGAAATATTAAATTAAAGAACCCAGATTTGTTGTGTTTACAGTCCGTGGGCTGATGATGCTCACAGTTGTTCATAGTCGTGCTCCGAAGGCCGATTCTGAACCAGGAAAACCCCTGATGAGATATTTTTGGCTTCTTTTTGCGGTAATTTCCCTGAATTTAAAACGGTTCGTGTTGCACTTTTGGCTGCGTCTGAAATCTGTGTGAGAAATTTGTCTTTAAAGATTCTTCTTTCAAATCACTTTTTTAAAACCCATTTTTATTGGCTTGCTTTTATGCGATTATATTAATCTTATTCTCTTTTACCCTTTATTTATTTACGTTGACTACTACTATTATTATTATTTTTATCCGTGTATTTTTGGTTCAACCTTCTATTTTCTTTTATTCCACTTGATCTTCTCTCTTACTTGGATTCGGTTCTATTATTTTTCTCTCTGTTGTTGTTGTATTGATTCATTTTGAAAATCTTTTACCGTATTTAACTCTATTTCTCCACTTCCTCCTTCTCTTTGGACTGATTGGCCTTCTGTTGTTGTTCTTCCTGAGCACTTTGTACACCCCAGTGCCACATAAATAAAGAACCCAACAACTTAGTAAATAAATACAGAAAGCTACAGATCTATTAATGCTCAGCTGTGTTTTATACTCCCTTTATGTTCCCATTTATTTTCTGACATGCTCTAAAGATCAGGAGCTGCTGTGTTTTATCTCTCTGAACAATAAATCCAGATCTTTGCGGGTTGTTTGCAGGTGTTGGAGCTCCTCCTGGCCATGTGCAGCGTCTCCGGTCTGCGCTCGCTGCTGTGTGAGGTGGTTTTTAAGCCGGCGGGACCCAAACTGAGAGCTGCGGGCCGCCGGCAGGCTGCAGGACCGGACGGCGGACGGAAGGTGGAGTGCGGACTGGCTCTGGTGCAGTGGCTGAGCTCACCTGTGGAGGGCGCTGAACGCTGCTCGCTGCAGGCCCTGCAGCTGTTGAACGAGCTGCTGGAGGTACGACGGCCACACGGAGACACCGACACGCTGTTCAGAGGTTTTATTCAGCTGCTGTGGAGTTGCTCTGCATGAAAACTTCACTTGTTTACATTAAAACTTAAAGCAAGTTTCACTGCAGCGACAAATCCTGATCGCTAATGTTGAACTGTTAAATTATATCCTAATATAAGCATCAGTATTCTCATAAAACCTAAATGTTAAAGTTCATATTTTGTAGTAGGAAATCATCACATTTTTAGAACAATTTCTGCTCGACTGTTGAAATTTTTATAGCATGAAATATTAATATTTAAAAAGACATTTGTGACATTTTAGCTTGATATATCAAACACATTCTGAGATATTTATTCTTTTAAAAACTGCTCGTTGACCCACTGATGTGACTTCTGTGCCCTGTCCTGGTTTCTTCTCTGTCCAGGAGGCCTTGGCAGCAGAGAGCATGCCTGACTGTATGCTGAGCTTCGTGGAAATGCTGCTCCCAGTCCTGCTGGAGCTGCTGAAGGGCCTCGATCCCGCACAAGGCGATGCTCACGTCAGAAAACACTGCCACCGGATCACTCACGTCACCAACCTGCTGCTCAATATCCTTGACAGGCCTCAGCCGCTCTGCTGTTTGTCTGCGTCTGTGTGTTTCTGTTCTGCTTTAAACCCTTGACTCTCCTACTCCTGTGCACCGAGGACTCCACCAGATCTCTGGTGTCCCGTCAGGTGAGCGCTCAGCTCTGCCTCCGCCAGGTTGAAGCGCTCCTCTCCTGTTGTCATGGCAACAGCCCCATCACCTGCCCGCATCCCGACAACGATCTCAGGTGAGAGAAATGTGGCCCTGATCACATCTCACGTTTTTCTGTAGAGTCTGAAATGTGTGTCATGGTAAAGTAAAAGCTGTCTGGTTGAGTCGTACATTTATTGTTTTCAAATTTTCCACCATCTGTTAATGTATCACGTGTCAGGAAAACCAGCAGTTCTACGCTTAAAATCAAAATGTGTCATTAAAATCACTTTATTCTACGTTTATGAATTCAAAAACTCTCCAAAAATAAACTGTTTGTACCAGATTGTGTAAAAATATTAAAACTATTCCGTGTTCCAGACTTTTAATATTAGTTTTTTATGTTATGGTTTTGTTGCATTTCTTGGGTAGAAAATGATGTGAGTGCTTCTGTTTTGTTTCAGTCACGTGTGTGCAGAAGCTTCACTGAAGACTCTGGAGCTGATGAGCAAACTGAGGCAGCAGGTGAAGGACATGGAGACGAGCTTCTACCGGATGCTGCAGGTGTGAACATCGTCACCGTCGCCTTTTCTTCTTCTCCTTCCTCGTCTTCTTCTTAGTCTCCTTCCTCGTCTTCTTCTTTGTCTTCTTCTTAGTCTTCTTCTTAGTCTTCTTCTTCCTCGTCTTCTTCGTTGTCTTCGTCTTCTTCATCTTCTTCTTCGTCTTCTTCTTCTTCTTCTTCCTCGTCTTCTTCTTCCTCCTCTTCCTCTTTTTCTTCTTCTGTGGTTTTTCCTCTGTGAGCTGATGTTGTTTCTCCTTCAGGACCAGAGGATCGTGACTCCGCTCTCTCTCGCCCTGACGTCCCACCACAGAGACCACGTGCAGACCGGACTCTCGCTGCTGTTCGAGGCCACTCCGCTGCCAGACTTCCCCTCGCTGGTGTGAGTCCCGATACCATGAAATCCTCAGAATGACGCATCGAACACATAATCAGTTTAAGCTTGTCGCAAGGTTGAAAATTTGATGATTCTTTCTGTTTTTCCAGTTTCTGTCTCTGATAAATGATAGAATTTGGAACTGATGCTTTTCAAACTTTTAAAGTGATTCATGTGAAAATCAGCCACAATAATTACATTATTTGGAAATACAGCCGGTTGAAATAAACCAGAAAGTATCCTTTTAACTGTAGTTAATTCCACTTATCATATTTCCCAAGTCTGGGAGAAAGCATCGCCGCCAACAACGCCTACCGCCAGAGGGAGGCCGAGCTGTCCGTCAAGCGCATGGCCGTGCAGGAAGTCCCGCCTCCCAGGACGAACACCAGCGTGTTGGATTCGTCCGCCGCCTCCAGCAGGAGCGTTCACAGCCTGGTGGAGAAAATACAGACGGGTTTGGAGGTAAAGCAGCTTAATTAGCACGGAGAAGCTTCTGTGTTTATATTATTTAATGGAAGAAATGCATAATTTGCTGCGATCGGAGCTCGTTATTGATGTCAGTAGGATCGTTATCATCTCACAGAAACATTTATTACCTTTCATTTGTAATTTTACATTGTCCTACTTTATTTTATTATTTTATCTTTTAAACTAAAATAAAAACCTGCTAGAACATGGTACTAATTCCTATTTATTTAGAGATATGAGCACTTTGTCATGCCTTGTGGTAGAAATGTATGCTTAGATTATGATCTCTGCTCAGCTGTTAGGTGTTTTTATTTAGTTTTCTAAGTTTACTGTTTCCTTAATTTATTTTGGAAGCTAACTGACCAAAAATTCTTAAATTACAATGACAAATGTAATGTCATAAAAACAGCACAACTGGGTGTTTTAGCTCCGACTTTCTAGGAGGTGGAAGTCACAAGAAGATTAAAAGATGATAATTTGATTATTTCACAGGCTTTTTGTTGTTACCCTGATAGTCAAAGCCGTCAACATCCTTGTGCAATATTGTTATTTATTTATTTACCTTTTACACAAGTGCAATATCTTTCACAAGAGCTATTTTTGATATATTTAACTATTTAAATGCCGCTAACAGCATTACTTCTGGTGTTTCTTTGCTGTTTGTAGCTGCAGGAGCAGGCGAAGGACTCGCACGTGTCTGAGATCATCGATGTTTACGAACAGAAGCTTTCTGCGTTCACGGTGAGCGTGTTTGTCAGATGAAGAAGTAAAATGTACAGTGATGCCGTTTGGTAGATGTTGGCTTTGCAGGCAGGTAACAGGACAAGCGTTTGATCTCATTTTGCTTTAAAAAGTCTTATTAATATGGTGAAAGGGGCTCATATGATGTTTTATTGCAGCTGTATTTGAGGGTTGTTTATGTAAGTAGCTACTAGTTCACAGAAAACCATTTCAGAACTGGATTTCATAATTTAAGACACAGAAACTGACGAGTCTTTCTTGATTTTAGAGTTTTTGTGAAGCAGCATTTCTTTGTTTTCCCGTCAGTCAAAGGAGAGCCGCCTGCAGGACTTGTTGGAGGCCAAAGCTTTGGCTCTTTCTCAGGCCGACCGTCTCATCGCTCAGTATCGTGTCCAGCGAGCTCAAGCTGAAGCTGAGGTAAAGTTTTTCTACACAGAGCTACAGGAATCTGCATAAAATATTCTTTCCCAGTTAATTTAGTAGTTTAACGTCAGACGTAATAACTTGATAATGACATTTTCTGGCATCGAGTCCCTCAGTTTTACCTGCAATACTTCTGTTTACTGTATTAATCAAAATTTTAATTGGAAATAATTTTGAGGATATAATATTGATTTGAATCACATATAAAGCAAGAAAATGACTTCACCAGCCTCTTAAACACGAGCATTTCTTCTGTTTTAAGCCTTATGTCATTGTAGACGTTTAAAAATATCAACATGGACTTTGGGAAAATTACTCTTTGTGCATTTTTTTTTAGCTAAAAGGTAAATCGAATGTTGGGAATAAAGTAAATGTCAAATGCAGCCTTTAATGCAGACGGCATCAGTTTAGTTTGAATCACAACGTTCTTGATTCTGATTAAGTTGAAAATTAAAACCGATGACAGGAGGACGATCAGCTCCTGATGTCCATTGAAGGTTTAAACTCCAGATGTGGTCAGAATATGATATATGGCATTAGCCTCAAGTTTTGATACGACATATTAGTCAAGTCACTATTATTTATATATTATATTATATATTATATTTATAAAGCACATTTAAAACTACAGATGTTGAACCAAAGTACTCTTTAATAGAGAAAGATAATTTACCAATATAAATATTAAGGTTATGACACAAAAGTGTTATTGATTACAGAAATTTACCCAAGTTATGTAAATATTAAGGTTAAGACCGTACAATATTAATCATAATATACACTTTCCTCCTGAATATAAATGGTTCAGGCTTTACAATATTATCTGTAAAATAATCTATCTGCCAGATTAATATGTTAAAACACCAGGCAGGTAAAATCACCAGCCTGTATTTTCCTTGGATGATACTTTTTGCCCGTCGGCCTTCAGGCCCGTAAGCTGGCGTCGCTGCTGAAGGACGCCGAGCGGCGGCGGGAGGACCTGCAGGGCGAGCTGAGCAGCCAGGTGCTGGAGGTGCAGCGCTCCAAGGCCGACATGGAGGAGCTGCTGCAGCACAACGCCAGGCTGCAGCGGGACTCCGAGGACCACCAGGCCCTGAAGGGAGCCTACAACAGCCTGCTCAACAGGTGAGCCGCTGGAACGCACAGTCAAGACGCATCCATGGAGCCCCACGAAGGAAATAACACAAAATCAGGTTTTATTTTAACCGAGAAACCATTTTAGCCATGCCATGTAATGGTCCTATATTCTATTTATTATTGGGGCTGAAGTGGTTTTTATTTTCACATTAAATAACTGCATTTAGTTTTAAATTAATTAAAGCATTCATCAGTCTTTATCTAGTTGATTAAAGGTTCCCCAGACCAGAGTGCACATCCAGATTGGGAAATTAGGAGTCTGCTTTATGTGGATGGTTCTGCTGGCTTCATCAGACCGCCACCTTCAGCTTGCGTTGGGCCGGTTTGCAGCTTGAGGATCAATCTGAAAAATGACGTATAGCTTCCTTAGGATCTCACTCATGAGTCACAGCGAAATAGATCCCGAGACACAAACGGATTGTCGCAGCTTCAACAGTGATTTTAACGGACTGTTGCGGTGAAAAGGGAGCTAAACCAGAGGACAAAGTTCACGGTTTATCAGTCAGTTTCCTTCGTACGGTGGCTGAGCTCAGACATCTAGAGGCAGCATCGTCTTCCCTCACCTGGCAGTTTCACAACCCCGAGGCTCGTTAGTCTCGTTTTGTTAATGTTCCTCCGCTTGGATGAAGGTGAAACATCTGCAAGAACCAAAAATGGAAGTCCAGTCTCCTGTCTTCTGGGTTGCACCACAGAAAAAATGAAGATGCTGTGACCTCATACAGATTCTACACATAAGGACTTCATTTTGATGGTTCCGTATGTGTTAAATTAGTGTGTCGAAGTTGTGACAATGCTCGAGAGTTCAGAGGTGTAAAAGGGAAACACCAGTGACTGATAAGAACTGCAAGAGACTGCAGCCCTCCTTTCTGTTGAGATTCAGACTGTAGAAAACAACTTTTAGGGACTAGAGGCACCCTGAGGCAGTTTCTTTTAAAGGATATGTTGGCCTCTTGTACTGCCGCTCTCGGCTCTTTACGGTCATTCACTAATCCAGTTGTTAAAAACCTGGGTGTGTTCTTTCACAGTTGCTTTAAATTCAACAAACAGAGTAGCACTGTCGTAAAAAATAGTTTCTTCCAGTTAAGGCTGCTGAAGTCAAGCCACATCTCCCTCGCGGTGACTTTGAGAGAGTGATTCATGCTGTGATCACCACCAGGCTGGACTGCTGTAATTCTTTGTACATCGGCCTCGATCAGTCGTCTCTTCGCTGGCTGCAGTTGGTCCAAAATGGTGCCGTATGGCTTTTAACTGGAACCAAAAAAAAAGGGATCATATAACCCCGGGTTTGGCATCGCTCCACTGGCTTCCTGTCCATTTTAGGGTAGTTTTTAAGGTTTATTTACTTATTCAGGTCCACAAACCTGTGAAAGAACTGAGGTCGTCCAGTCAAGCGGTCCTGGAGGTCCCCAGATCCAGACTACAAACTAAAGTTGACTGAGCCTTTTCAGTAGCAGCCCCCAAACCTTGGAACAGCCTACCGCTGGACATTAGGACTGCTCAGTCTCAGCTAAAGACCCACCTCTACTCAGTGGCTTTCACCTCGTGCATATATATTGTTTTTCATTGTATGTTCATGTATGTTCTTTTCAGTGTTGATTTAGACGTCTGTAAAGCACTTTGGTTGTTTTTAAATGTGCTATAAAAATAAAACTGACCTTGACCTTGACATAGAGCCTCTGTAGGTGTTTAACGGTATCATTTTCCTGCAGGTTTAATGAGACGGAGCGGCTGCTGAAGGAGCTGCAGACGGCTCACATCTCGCTGACCAAACAGAACGACGCCCTGAGGAAGAACCAGGAGGCTCTGCAGCTGCAGCAGGACAAGTAATCCACACTCCCCCGAATTACTCTAAATAATCACGACGCATTTGAGGAAAATACTGTTGTCGGAAATCGTAGCTGGCGCAGTCTGCAGGCTTCACCTTGAGAGGTCAGAAACTAGCAGAGAAGGAAAGAAGCTTGAAGTGAACAAGTTCAAGCAGTGACAAGACACTTAAAAATGAACCAAAACACAGAAGAAAAGGGTTTCAGTTGGCTACAAACAGAGAAATAGCAAACAAAAGCATCCCTCTGAGCTGCTAACGAACGGATGAGTTGATCTTTTTTTTTTTTTTTGTAAATATAATATCCAAAAAGGAGAGACCGCTTCAGTCCACTTGTAGATTCATTGTTCACCTCACAGAGTCGCCTGAAACAAACTGGGTTAAATAAGATGCTTCACGCTGCCTGACATGTGTGTCATCGTCTTTGCAGGCTTTTATTTACTCTAAAACCTTGAAAAATATAGTTTTCCGTCTTGAGATTTGAACGTTAAGGCTGCAGAATGGCTCTGAGGACACACAAAGCATCTTTATTGAAGCTTCTCTTCAGACTTCACACACTGATCGTCTATTCAATCCGTCGCATATGGACTTTTATCGTATGCATACATTCATTTTCACTCCCTTAGATAAGTACCATCCTCATATTTTAGCTTCTATGACTGTATAGTTCAGGATATCTGAAAGCTTTCACTAGATTCTAATTTCCGACACACGTTTCAAGACTTTCTTTTTCTTGGACATAAATTCTGCCTGAAAATGTGCTTCAGCATCTCGTCAGTCGATGTTTGCGACTCTTCTTCTTTTCCAGGATGGCGTCGGTGTTGGAGGAGAGACAAGAGGAGATCAAATCCCTTCATTCGGATCTGCAGAGGAAAAACAGCGACATCGCGGGTCGGTTTTGTGCCAACACTGTGCGGCGCTGTTTGCTTTTTGTGGCTTTAATTGCATTCTGTCGACACAAAAATGGTCTCAAGTTTATCTACAACCACCATCAATTAGCGGTTTAACGAGTGTTCATAATAAAAACGCTTTTCTTCTTTCTTTTTGAAACGTAGCTCTGGATTTTGGGATCTTAAATTCAGAGTTTTGTCTGTTTCTGATGCTTCTCCTCTTTGTTTCTGGCAGGTCTGCGTCTTGAACTTCAGGCCGAGGAGGAGAGAGTGAAAGAAAAAGACCAAGAGAGGAGAGAACTGGAGGAGACGGTGGATGTTCTGAGGAAGGAACTGAATAAAACGGAGCAGGCCAGGAAGGACGCCAGCATCAAGGTAACCCTGGACAGAGTCTGTTTAGTCACCTCTGCATCATTAGAAACTTGATTTATTTGCTTTCCAAACACAAGAAAGGGCCCGTTTTTGTCTTTATAGCCTTGAAACCTTCTGTGTTTCGCGTCTTTATATGTTTATTCGGCACTTCAAGCTCAAATAAATGTCGTGGTTCTTTACTAACAGACTGGATAAAGTTCGTCATATGTTCTTCAAATGCACGTTTAGTTAGATTTTTGTGAGGAGAAATAAAATCATACGTTCTTTTATTTAGGACTTTGCTGCACAGAATTAGAGCACAAATAAACAAGATGCTGCTGTGAAAATGAACCTTTTTTTTCTCCAGATGTTAAATCTATAAATGTAAAACTCAGCTGTATGTATGTAGAAGCCCAGTGAGCCGCTCAGATTTGGGTACAAAAAGGTGAATTCAGTTTTAAATTCCTGTTCAAAATGGTAAAAGGTTGAGAGCTGAGTGAGAATTAAAGCCCCCCATGATGCTGGAAGGTCTATAAATATAATATATATTAATGTGAAGAACAAATTAAACAGGTGGTCTCATAAATTTAAGTGCTGTATGTCTCGTGCACCTTCCAAGATCTCAAATATAGAGATGAAAAGGAATCGAAAACCAAAGAAAAGGTTGAAAACATCAGTGTTAGCTGCTCCTGAACTGAGATAATCCACAGAAACGTCGACACTTCGATTCAGCGGGAAACGATCGGACGCTTTTCTTGTTTCCTGTGTTTCAGGCGTCGTCTCTGGAGCTGCAGAAGAGTCAGCTGGAGGCGAAGCTGCAGCAGAAGGAGGACGAGCTGAACAAGCACTCTGCGATGATCGCCATGATCCACAGCCTGAGCAGCGGCAAGCTGAAGAGCGACGTCAACCTGTCGCTGTGAGCGGCCAGCCAGATGAGTGACTGAGGAAACGCTAGATTTTTAAAAAACGGACTTAAATTTTAATCCTAAGCGAACGTTGTTTAGTAATAAAACACGCTCGATGAAGTACATTAAACTAAACCCGTATGTTAAGCGTCCAGGTCCTGTTGACACGTGTGTCTTGTATGTGTGTGTTTTTATTGTTCGGTGAATAAATGATGAGTCTGTATTCGTACTAGATTCCACATGAGGGGTGTGTGTGTGTGTGTGTGCGCGTCTTGTGTGTCTTTGCAAACTGAAAATTATTATTTTAGCATCTGCAGCATCAAAATGCCTTGATTTATTCTGCAGTGGGGGAAATTTGCACTGAAACAGCAGCAACGGGGGCAGAAATATCAGTAGAAAAATAAAAAATAAACCAAAAATATACAAAAAAAAGTGCGAGTTCAGGTTGTCTAAATTCATCTGCATGGAAAAAAAACAATCCTGAAAGTATCGGTGGTATTGCTTTTATTAGTAGAAATACTGAATACTGCAAGTAGAAAAGTACATGACGGATTCTTACATGTGTTCTGAAATAGATTAAATATTCATGATTCTCAGCTATGAGGGTGTTGATGCTGCACCACAAAGGAAGTCTGAAAAAAAGACGAGATTTTTTTGTGCAAACCGACCAAATCTGAGAACAAAAATAGAACCCAAAACTATCAACATGTTCAAACTTCAGTTTCTTCATCTTTTCCACACTTCTTAGTCTTTAGATTTCATGTTAAATTCCCATTTTTTACTCCTGAATCTACCCTCAGTAACTCATAAAGACATGTATAGACGTTTCCAGACTCAGGTGCGCCCAGTTTGCTTCAATTCTCCTTCACAGATGTCTGACTGGAGTCCAGCGGTGGAGAATGGACCTGATGGGACCTAGTTTAGAGAGAAACGCTGCTGAGGACGTAAGATTCCACAGTTCACACTTCAAATCAGGACAAAAACTCAAACGTTTGGTCTGAGAACTGTCTGCAGAGGCACAGATCAGTGCTTCAGCATCATTCTGGACAAGTTTAACGTCTTTTCTATTCATTTTAGAGCTGGTGTGATGCCATTTTGTACAACTCTTGAGTGGTGTTGGTGATCTCATTTTGGACAATTTAAGTGGTTTTGGAAGGTTTCACATGATTTAGGTCAGTGTTTGGGTCATTCTGGATTTTTAATAATCACATGTAACTGGTTTCATGTCATTTTGGACAACTTTCAAGTGATTCTGGATGATTTTTGAGTCATTCTAAACTATTTTTGATGCTTTTAGAACAGATGTAATGTCATTTTTTGACCACTTTTGAGTGATTTTCGACAGTTCCTCATCATTAAGAAACAGGTGTAATGTCATTTTAGACACTTTTTCAGTAATTTTGGATAATTTCTAACTGTTTAAAACAGGTTTCATGTCATATTGGACAACCTTTGAGTGATTTTGGACAATTTCTAATCATTAAGAACAGGTCTAGTGTCATTTTAGACTACTTTTAGGTCATTTGGCCAAGTGTTATTCATTTACAACAGGCGTAATGTCATTCTAGATAACTTTTGAATGATTTTGGACAATTTTTAAGTCACTCTGGACAATTTTTAAAATATTGTAGAACATTTTCACATCGTTTAGGTCAGTTTTTGGGTCATTCTGAACAATTTCTGATCATTTGGAACCAGTTTCGTGTCATTTTGGACAACTTTCAAGTGATTTTGGACAATTTGTAATCATTTTAAACAGGTGTAATATCATTTTGGACTATATGAGTGATTTTAGACAGGTTTCACATCATTTTGGCCAATTTTTGGATCATTCTCCGCAATTTTTAACTAATTTTGGACTGTTTCTGAGTCATTCTGGGATACTTATAATCATTTAGAACACGTGTGATGCCAATTTAGACAGCTTTTAAGTGGTTTTGGACAGGTTTTGCATCATTTAGGTCAGTGTTTGAGTCCAGGTGTTAAAATTTAGAATTGCTTGCTTGTCAATCCAGAGTCCAGATCTCCAGTGTGATGTTCTGACTGTATGTGAGGCTCCTCCCGGCTCTTTGTGTTTCCCGTACAGACTGGAGGTGACGGCTGCTCGCTCCTGCCGTCTGCTTTCTATTTTCTCCTCTCGGTGTTTCTGCAGCTGCCGCCTGTCGATCATTCGGGCTTCAGGCAGAAGGTCGGCGGGTAAAAGGACTCCGGGCTTCAGTCAGCCATGGAGCTTCAGCGTGCAGCACTGGGCGCCTTGTTCCTGCTCGCTCTGCTGGCATCTGGTAAGAAAATTAGAGCTTTATCTTCTGCTGTAATGCTTCTTTTATCCAAACTTTCAACTCACCGGTGTTGACTTCAGATTCATACGATTCCACGGAGGCCTAAACAGACTTTTACTGATGTTACATTTGACTGGAAAAATCAGCGTAAATGTAATATTTTCTTTTCCAGAAAGATTTTCTGCACGTTCCTGTGTACGATTCCCTTCTAATTGCACGTAGAACAAAACACTACAACTCTGCATCTCTGTGAAATCATACTCCACAGCTGAAACAGATTTATACTGATCTGGTTGTGAGATTGAGAGAAAGCAGCGATTCTGATCAGTGACTCAACATTTAAAGTCCTTCCCTTTAAAGCAAATGTAAGGTTTTTTCAAGTCTTATAATCATAATCGGACAAAATAAGCAGTTTGGACACCTCACCTGGATCATTTTAAAGGCCAGATGACTAACTTACGGAACGTGAGAGGTTAATCGACGGTGAAATGATCAGCTGCAGCCCTACGTTGGTCATTTAAATGCAAAGTAGTTGTCAAAAACAGAATAAATTGGCTAAAAAACAGAATATAAATGATGATTAATAGTGAAATAATCAGTTGCAGCCCCACTTTGGTCCTTTAAATGTAAATTTGTTGTCAAAAACAGGATANAGTCCTTCCCTTTAAAGCAAATGTAAGGTTTTTTCAAGTCTTATAATCATAATCGGACAAAATAAGCAGTTTGGACACCTCACCTGGATCATTTTCAAGGCCAGATGACTAACTTACAGAACATGAGAGGTTAATCGACGGTGAAATTATCAGCTGCAGCCCCACGTTGGTCATTTAAATGCAAAATAGTTGTCAAAAACAGAATAAATTGGCTGAAAAAACAGAATATAAATGATGATTAATCGTAAAATAATCAGTTGCAGCCCCACTTTGGTCCTTTAAATGTAAATTTGTTGTCAAAAACAGGATAAATTTGCTAAAAATGACAGAATTGAAAGAACTTTGATAGTGAAATTAGCAGTTGTAGTCTCACTTTGGTCCTTTGAATGAAAATGAATTGTCATAAACAGGATAAATTTGCTGAAACGAACAAAATGTAGAGGATAGTTGATTGTGAAATAAGCAGCTGCAGCCCCACATTAGTCCTTAAAATGAAAAATCTGTGAAAGACCAGGATAAGTTAGCTGAAAATTACGGACAGCCGACAGTGAAATTAGCAGTTGCAGTCTGACTTTAGACCTTTAAATGAAACTTAATTGTCAAAAACTGGATAAATGAGCCAAAAGGAGCAAAATGAATAGTAAAATCAGTCGTTTTGGCTCCACTTAAGTCTTTATAAGGTAAAATAATTGTCAAAGACAGGATAGATGAGAATGTAACAGATAATTAAAAGTGAAATTAGCCGTTGCAGCCCCACTTTTGGTCCTTCAAATGAAAAATCTGTCAAAACCAGGATAGATTAGCTAAAAAAACATGAATGCTAATAATAATTATAAGTGAAATAAGCAGTTAAAGCCCCACTTTGGTCTTTTGAATGAAAATTAGTTGTCAAAAACAGGATAAATTAGCTGAAAACTACAGAATATAAATGATAAGAGTTAAAACCAGGACAAATGAGCTAAATATTACAGCATGTAAAGGACAAATGATGGTGAAATTAGCAGCTGCAGCCCCACATTAGTCCTTTAAATGTAAAATAGTTTTAAAAAACAGAATAAATTAGCTAAAAAACACAATCTAAATGGTAACTGACAGTGAAATTAGTACTTGCAGCCCCATATTAGTCCTTTAAGTGACAATTTGTTCTCAGAAAAAGGATAAATTAGCTAAAAAGAACAGTTTATAGAACAGTTGACAATATCTGCGGCCTCACTTTAGTCCTTTCAATGCAGAACAGTCGTAAAAACGTGTATCGATGAGCTGAAAAAGCAGAGAATGCAAAGGATGGATGAAAACAAACATGGCGGCGCGTTTCGGTGGCAAATGTCTGCCGGTTATGTGCAGCAGCTGCGACGCGCTGAAACCTGAGCAGCATGAAAACATCCACACACTCTTGGATCCTGTTTGTTTTCTTCTCTGTGTGTGTGTGTGTGTGTGTGTGTGTGTGTGTGTGTGTGTGTGTGTGTGTGGATGTCAGAGAATTCTTTGTTTACGGTGTATTTATATCACAGGGAAAAACTTTATTAGTCAGAAAACAAAAACAACAAAAAGAAGAAGAAGAAGTTGGTGTTTTGTACGCTGAACAATAAACGAGCTGAAGGTTGACCTTGGAAACATCAGCTGTAGTTCCATTTAAATTAAAGTTAAGGTTTTAACTATAATTGTTTTAACAATCTGATGGTATTTTGCAATAATTTAGCTTCCTGTTTTGTTAAATTACACATAATAAATAGTAAATTCATATTAATTTACATGTTAACCAAGAACAAGTATTAATTTACACATTAACCCTAAAAAAAAATCAGTTTTATTTTTTTTAATATATATTTTTTTAATGTTTAACCATTAAAAACTACACTTTCATTATTTTACTATGTTGAAATTAGCAGGAAATTTTTTTTTTTTTTTTTTAACAGAGATTTGCTGTTTTTTGAAATAAATAAATCTTATTTTTTATTTTACAGATTTTCAATAATAAATAATGATCTGATAAATAATAATTAATACTAATAAATGATGTCCACTTCAAAAATCTGCACATTAACATATTGTAATTTCTGTTTTTGTCCAAAAAGGCATTCAAAATGTTAAGTTCACTGACATCCCCATATTTAAGCTTGTACAAGTGGATTTTGGGCATTTTTGGTTCAAGAATTTACTCAGTTGTTTAAATAATTAGCAAAATCGCTGCTAATTCTTATTATTGTCTCTTCAATGGGGTTCAAAAGGAGCCTAGTGATACATTTTTGGCTCCTTTCAAAATTAATTTTGCCGCCACTGAGGGTTTTACTGAAGTCAAGTTGTTCAGTTCACTAAAATCCCCACATCTTTAAGCTCGTACACGTGGATTTTGAGCTCAAAAACTCAATCAAATGTTCTTTAATTAGCAAAATTATTACTAATGGGGTTCAAAAGGAGCCTAGCGACAAATCTGTGGCTCCTTCTGGGGTTAGCTTTTCCCACACTGAGGGTAATTCTTGTCCTTAATCCTAGAATCTGTGTTCTAATGACCCGAGTGAGCTTTGTGCTCGTTGAGTTGATTAAAATGCGACTTCTTAAATGCCAGAGTGCTGCTGCAGGAACGAGGAGGAGCGTCTGATCAACTACCTGCTCAAGGAGAAGGGCTACAACAAGGAGCTGCGGCCGGTGGAGAGGCAGCAGGACGCCGTGGACGTCTACCTCGCCCTCACGCTCTCCAACCTCATCTCTCTGGTGCCAATCAGGACTCTTAGAAGCTCCAAACACATCCAGGCTTCTTGTACACGATCCAAAAACAGCCAAAACCCGCTTTAACATCTCTTCGTGTGTGTCTGTCTTCGTGTGTAGAAAGAAGTCGACGAGACGCTGCTGACGAACGTGTGGATTGAACACGTACGTAGAAGTGAATTTATCACGTTCTTGTTTGAAACGCTGACGGCTGTCCACCTCTAACAGTGTGTGTGTGCTGCGGCAGACATGGACCGACTACAGGTTGTCGTGGAACTCGACGGAGTTCGACGGCATCGAGATGCTCCGGCTGCCGTCCAATATGGTGTGGCTGCCGGAGATCGTGCTGGAGAACAAGTGAGAGTCGTCGTTTTCTGATTTTAAACCTCATGTTTAACAGATTTCCAGAACAAACAAACACGAGAAGCATTTAAACAGACACAGTTTTGTTCAAGGTTCAGATTAAAACCAGTTTTCTGGAGTTCTGGTTTGTTTTTATATATTTTACACAGATGACATCCTCGTTTGTTTCACCAAAGCGTGATACCCTGATACCTTCAGTTTGAACTTTTCCTCCATAAATGCTTTTATTCATGCGCTGGGGGATTCGAGGCAGCTCACACGTGCTGCATTTAAGAAAAACTGAAGCGGTTTTGGAAAGGTTTCACATCATTTTGGTCGGTTTTTAGGTCATTCTGGACAATTTCTAATCATTTAGAACCAGTTTTGTCCAATTTCAAACACCTTCCATGTCATTTTGGACAACTTTCAAGGGATTTTGGACAATTTTTAAGTCCTTCTGAACTATTTTTGATGATTGTAGAACAGGTTTAAGATCATTTTTGGAAAACTTTTGAGTAATTTTGCACAATTTCCTATCAGTTACAACTGATTTCATGAAATTTTGGACAACTTTTGAGTGATTTTAGACCATTTTTTCATCATATAGAACCAATTTCACTTCATTACCATCAGTTTTTGAGTCATTTTGGACAATTTCTCATAATTTAGAAGAGGTTTTATGTCATTTTGGACAACTTTCAAGGGATTTTGGAACGTTTTTGATGATTGTAGAACAGGTGTAATGTCATTTTTGGACAACTGTTGAGTGATTTTGGACCATTTCTAATCATTTCAAAGTGGTTTCATGTAATTTTGGATCTTTTCTGGGGTCATTATGGACAATTTCTAATCATTTAGAACCAATTTTATGTCATTTTAGACAACTTTTAAGTGATGTTGACCATTTTAAGCCTGTAGAACAGGTGTAATGTCATTCTGGGCAACTTTTGAATGTTTTTGGATAATTTCTAATCATTTAAAACTGGCATTATGTCACTTATTAGGGAACTAATGTGCAAAAGAACATGCAATTAACATGTAAATCATGCTAGTTGAAGAGGTAAGGTGTAAATTGCTGCTATTTATGGGGGGGGCAGATATTAAAAAGCTGATTGAGCAGATATGACAAGTTGTACCACGACAACAAAGATATCGTTAGCGTGGGCCAAGCTGGAGTTTCAGATTCTGTATTGCAGGTTCTGAATGAGAAACAGCAGAGACAGTTTCAGGCTTTTATCTTCAATAGTTCCTGAGATTTTGTCGCCTCAAATTTGTTGATGTGTTGGTAATAGCTGAGCTGTGACCTACAGACCAGTCTGTGTCCTGTTCCCCAGTAATGACGCCCAGTTCCAGGTGGCCTACTACTGCAACGTACTGGTGGACGCGACTGGGCTCTGCTACTGGTTGCCTCCCGCCATCTTCCGCTCCTCCTGCTCCATCAACGTCAACTACTTCCCCTTCGACTGGCAGAACTGCACGCTCAAATTCACGTACGTGTGCTTGAAACACTCATAAACTATTGTTTGTGTTTACTTTGTGGTGAAACGTCGATGCTTGTGATTCCAAATATATTCTTGTACGTAAACAGGATTTTATTGGATTGTGGCTCTTCTTTGGACTGTAGTTTGGTGATTCTGTGAAAAATTATCAGTTTTATCAGCTGATATTTTTTCCTGTACAATAACTTTAGTGTATTTCATAAAGACTTTTGAAATTTTGCTATGTTGCTATGAATATTTTCAGAGTTACAGGCCTTTAAAATACGTAGAAGTGAGTCTCTTTACTGGACTTTTTCCGTCATTTCTGAGNCGGAGCCGTGAGTTTAATCAGCTGTTGATGGCGTCGTGCATTTGTTTGTGGCCTTGCAGAGCCGTGCAGGTGGTGGTAGAACTGTATATATAAAGCCGGACGGTCCATGAACTGACTGCCGAACTTTAAGAACTGTTTTTCAGCCGTGTCGTTGTTTTGCTGTTTCGTGTGTGGGGATGCGCTTGTGTATGTGAGGGGGGATAAAAAAGGAAAGTGTTTAAAGTAAAAGGATGTGCTTTGAACCAAAACGAATGTATGAGATTGTCTGATTTTCACCCCGCTGAGTCCAGATCCGCCCGCTTCCTTTACATGGTGCGTTGTGACGCTGTCATCTTGGAATGAATGTGAATTGTTACAAGGAGACAACACACCTGGTTTTTAGTCTCTTTAACAGACTTGATGTTGCTCAAACTCACAGAGAGAATAAAAACTCTCCAGCCAAACAGGAACGAGACTGAACTAGAGTGAATTATTTCTTTTAGTCCTGTAAAGAAAGTAAGACTCAAAGCAGCCAACAGAAGTTATTTCATAGAATAATCCAGAGTCTTCATGGGTCGGGGGAGTTTTGTTGTCTCCCAGTTTGAAGTTGTCAGCAGTCGGTCTCTGTGTTTCTTTGTTTTGTGTTTCTGATTATTACAGACACTGAACTGTTTAGTTAAACTGATGAGACACTAATTCATCGCTGGAGGTCAGATTCAGGGTTTTGTTGCATCTCCATCTTGTAAAATGACAGTTTGAGTAAATGTTTGGACAGCACATCTCGGGCTGCTGCTCCTGCCTCTAACTTTGGTTCAGTGACACAAAGTGTCCATGTTGGTGTTTGACAGAGGAGCTGTGAAACAGCTGCAGTAGCAGCAGACCACCAGCAGGCGGCGCTCTGACATCATGTTTCCACTGCCGCTAGTCTGACGTCATCAACTCCAGTCCACAGGTGGAAAGTAACGGAGTACTCGAGTACGGCACAGAGATGAGGTATTTTACCCTCACCTGCTGCTGCTTTGTACTGCTCCAGACTTCACCTGGAAATATTGATTAATTATTATTGAGAAGCAGCTACAATGAGCTCCACCTCCAATAACTGTAACATCAGAGTCCCTCCTACATCCTAATGATCAATAATAATGATCAATTAGAGCAGAACGTGACTCTGACAGGATCCATTCTGCATCAGGACTGTGAATCTCCGGCATCTTCGTGCGCAGGCGCACTGAGCGCAGCTAACGGCTTCTAGAAGCTTCGACGGAGAGACGGCGGGAGGAAAAGAAGGAGGACGAGAACATGGAGCCGCTTGTTGGAGGAGAACCGAAGGAGACGGAGGTGAGGAAGATGGTGTTTTAATCCAGGAAGGCTCAGTAAAGTTTGACTGTGACAAACTGGACTCATTCAGGAGGCTTTATGACGAGCTAGCGAGCTAACGGCCGGAAATATGCGTTAGCTCCGTTAGCTAGGTTAGCATCCTGTTAGCTAGCGTGTTTTCAGTGAACTGGACTGTGCAGCTGTTTGTGGAGCTGAATGTAGAATTTTAGGACAAACAGAGTCAACATGTGTGTGAGTCTTTGTAACTGATGGTTAAGTGAACTCTGTAAACTTATTCAGCTTGACTTGGAAAACAGCAGAAGAACACAATCAGAGCAACAGCAGACAAATATGCATCAAAGGTTACTGAAACTAAAACAACTCACTCATGACAGACAACAGAAAAAAGGACTGGTTGTTTTGTGTCTCTTTGTGGTCCTTTGTTGTCTATTCTGTGTCTAGTGGTCATTTTGTGTGTTGTAGTTTTCATTTTGTGTCTCTTTGTGGTTGTTTCTCGGACGTTTTCCAGCCAAATCAACACTTTGCTGTAGAAACTGATCAGAAACAGTTTGTTCGGTCAACAGTAAAGTGTTTGACTGAATAAATGGTTGATGGAGTTGCAGCGTCCTCTGCTGGACACAAACTGAAATCATTTGTCGTTGTTTCTCCAAGAATGCTTTTATTTTTTTCTAACAAAGTGATTATAAAACTGGTAGAGGTCACATAGTGTTACAGTCATTGTGTTTTGTCAGCATGTAAACATGATGTAAAACTGGATTTCAGAATATTGTAAAATCAAATGAAGTCTGATAGAACAGTATAAATACTGATCATCTAATAATACATTTAAATACAGACTCTGGATTGTGTTTATCTGGAATCTCTCTGTGTTTCCAGTTTCCTCCAAAACAACCTGTGACTGATGAGTTCAGCACCAACTGATGTGATCTGTATTTTTCAGGTGAAGCAGAGCAGCTTCTGTTCCAGCCCATCAGTCTGTGAGTTCTGACTTCTTCTGCACTGTTTAGTGTGAGTGAGGCATCAGGACATGATTTAGAGCTACAGCTACATGCTGCACTTCAGGAAACAGAGCAGGTTGTTACAAGATCAAACAGAAAAACAGTAAAAAGAGCTGAATTATTACATCTTCTACAAAGATCCTCTGAAATGACCTGAACAAAATGATAGAAATGATGATTAATGAGTGGCTTGTGGTGATATTTAGTGGTGGAACAATTGTTGAACAAATTCAAATTTAAAAGCCCCAAAACTGGAGATACGTGTTTTTCACAGAACTGGAAGAATCTGAAAAGTAACTGAAGTTATAAATCAATATCAAATATGTTCCAAGATAATTGTTTTTAAAAAAAATATCCCGTTCACCCACTTTGAGCAGGAGTTCCTGAAGATTAAAGCTGCCATGAAGAGTTTTGTCTTTGAGTTTACGTCAACACAAAAAAAATATAATACCAAAGTCAGCTGGTGACATGTAAACATACATAATTCCTAATATAATACTTAATACAGTCATGATACAGAGGTCTGGGGTAAGAATGAGATTTTTCACACTCACCAACATTTTAGGCACCACTTCTTCACATTACGTTAGATTGTTTTAGCTTACACTCATTTTTACAGTCAGACCTCAGAGTTGACCAGACTGGACCGAAGTTCATCTGACTGAGGTTTAACACTGTTGTTCAGGTTTTCAGCACATTTCTTCAGCAGAAGGTGTTCCTCCATTTTTATCTTCAAGTTTAATAGACCTGCAAATAGAGTGAAGCCAAAGTTATCACCAAAACATATAATGATAAAAAAACAAAACAGTATAAAGAGCAAAATAAACCTTCACACCAATCATGATTCCTTCATCTGATTTTCTGTTTTATCGTCATTTCAGTTCAACACTTAACATCTACTTACGTGTTTTCATCAGTGTTTGAGCTTCTCATGTTGTTTTCTTGTTGACCTGAGAAATGTTCAGAGTCCAGAAGACATCATCAACACAAACAACATACAAGAAATGAATTCTAAATTAAATATAAAACATCTTCTTACCTGTTTTCTTCTTATAGACCAGAAACAGACAAACTGCTGCTGCTGCAACCAAAACAGCTCCAACCACTCCACCTATGATTCCTCCATTGATTGAACTCCCTGAAATATAAAGAGTCAGTTAATATTCTGTCCCTGGAAGCTTCATGATGGAGTTTTGTGATCTTTGATGTTTGCAGCTCAAACACATATTACAGATAATCAGAGGAAGTTTTTCNTTGCAGTTTTGTTTTTTTCAGCCCTTAAAATATTTCTATCAGTTTAAAAATGCTTGAAAAAGTAACGTAAAGGACATTTTAACCTGTCCTCGGGTACTTCTAGCGTACTTTTTTAAAATTTAAATGGAATGACCCAGTTAGGTATTTATCTTTATGCTGTCTAGATGAGACAACAGATCAAAATACGTACTAAAAGTATAAAAACACGCAGAGGAAATGAGGCTTTAGATGTTTGTTTGGTCTTAAAGGTGCAGAAATCCTCCAAAATGTCAGAGAGTTGAGCTTCTGATAACGATGTAAATGACTGCAGACGCCAGAAACGGCTTTTTCAGCGACCGTGCTCTCCTGGAACCACATGTTCTGTTTCCGTGCAGCTCTCTGACCTACAACGCCAAAGAGATCCGGATGCTGCTGAAGGAAGAAGCGGACGAGACCAACAAGTGGACGGTGGAGTGGATCATCATCGACCCCGCCAGCTTCACGGGTAAACGGCCTTTTTCTGCTCATCGCAGATCGTCTTTTACAGTTTACGCTTCGTGACGTTCGTTTCTGCGTCTCGGAGATCAGTTAGTGCTGTGTCATCCTAAACGAACGCGATCTGAATTCAAACTGTCACAGACTTTCACACAAATGATGAAGAAATGACTTTTTTTTTAGATCCAACAGGTCAAACGTTCACTGTGGCACCATAATGTTTTAATTTCTACTCTATTTAACATAAGATGACGTGCTAGATTGGTAGAAACTGCAGCAAAAATAACGTTTTTATGTAGAAAAGAAATTTTAAAAATCCTCGAAATCGTCGACGTCCTTCAGAAACCTTTGAGTTTACACCAAAAAAAAAATCCATGTTTCATATTTTCTGTTTAGTTTTTGAGGAAGTTCGTTTTGTTTTATTTAAATTTAACTCAATATTAGAAGAAAAATGGTCACTTGTTGTAGGTGGTGAGTCTGTAGAGGATGAAATAATAATAATAACAATAAAACTTTATTAAACTCGAAGGATTCTTGTGCCAGATGTTGCTCAGGAAAAATAAAAATGACAGAAGACATGCCGCGTCTAAAAAGTAGGAAAGCAATAAAAAGTAACGTCAGACATGAAATAGAATATTGCACCTAGAAAATGAAATATTGGACATTTAATAAAATATATTGCACAATAATATTATTATAATATACTGATAAAATGAGATTAAACAAGATTAAACTTTATGAATCCCAGAGACATTCTTGTGCACTATTAACTCAAAATGAGAACAATATGAGAAATGCAGAGTCTAAGAAGTAAAATAGCAATAAGATATAAGTGCGTTACATTACTTACAATAATAATAAGTGAACTAAAATAAGGCTAGAATGGAAAAATAAGAAGTAATACTGGAAATTATAGTGAGATAATAAATAAAATCACATGTGAAATTAAAATATTGCACCTGATAAATGAAATATTGCACATTTATTCCAAATATTGTTCCTAATATTACATTATATTGCACATTGGTATCAGAAATTTATACTTTCTAAAGCAGAAGCAGCTTCTCAGGTTGTTGAAATCCTCTAATTTTAGCAGCTGAGAGTCTGTAAACTTTGTTTTGTGAAGCGCGTCGATTCGCCTCAGGCTGTAAATCCTGCCGGCAGCTTCACCGTCCGCCTGTTTCTTGTCCGCAGAGAACGGCGAGTGGGAGATCATCCACCGGCCGGCGAAGAGGAACACCTACAAACACATTCCCATGGAGAGCAACAAGCACCAGGACATCACCTTCTACCTGGTCATCAAACGCAAACCTCTGTTCTACATCGTCAACATCATCATCCCCTGCGTGCTCATCTCCTTCTTGGCTTCGCTCGTCTACTACCTGCCCGCCGACAGTCAGTCAGCTTCGATTTTTTAATTTAACTGCAGTCTCGTGTGGAAACTGGTTTAATCCACTCGCAAAATGGTGTTTTTGTAATTCACAGAGAGTTTCATTTAACGTTCTGAACACCTGAGCGGTTTTGTCAGAGTTTTGTTTTTTTCTCATTGGAACATTTTCAGTCACTGGAGGTAAAAAGAAAAATACAGTTAGAGGGAATTCAGTATTTCTTTGTACAGTATGACTTAGTTATGCCATAAATCTTTTTTTTTTTTAAAAGAAAGAGATTAAAGTTAAATATGTGCCTACAGGTGTTACAGATATTGGTGGAAAAAATGGTGACTCCACATGCTTTTCATAGACTATTTAATGAGGCTTGTTTACATTTTCAGCTTCTATAAATTCTGCATTTTTCTCGCTACATTGCACATTAAATCACGTTTAGCACATTTAATAATAACCTGAGCTGTCGTACACCATCAGGCAGCAAAAAGAAACCGATTTGTAGAAGAGAACAAAACCGTATTAATTATTAAAACAGGATGACAAGTAGCAAGATTACAGTTTATGATAAAATAAATGTAAAACACTAAAAATCAGGACCATTCAGAAACACCAAAATGAAGGTTATGAGCTCAGTGTAGTGGAGGTTTACACGTTCGACTTGTATTATTTATATATAGAAATTAGATTTAGAGAAACATTAGAGTCACTCTGTTCACAGCGATGCTTCTTATCTCATATCGGATGTATCAGTGATAGAAACCTGAGTCCGCTGTAGGTGTATTATACCTAAATCATATTCTTACATCAATCATTTGTGCTTTAAAACATCATAAACCTGTGAAAAGTGCCTGAGACAATGTGAAATGTGTTGTTTTTGCTTCGACCAACAGTCAAAATTTGAATTTTTTTAGAACTTAAGTCAAGAAAAGTCTAAAAATCTCACATTTGAAAACCTAAAATCAAGCAAATATTTGGCATTTGTGCTTAAAGAACGACCCAAATCATGAATAGACCTTTTTTTTAATGAGACATTTTCACCTGATTTAAGTTGTGACATGTCAGAAAAATCACAAAAATCTCTTTCCTCTAAATTCACTGCAGTTTTTTAGGATCAGGCCTCATTGTTTAGCTCCCCTGTTCGTGCTGGGTTTGCAAACTGGTTTGTTTGCATGCAGGTGGAGAGAAGATGACTTTGTCCATCTCAGTTCTGCTGGCTCAGTCTGTCTTCCTGCTGCTGATCTCTCAAAGGCTGCCGGAGACCTCCATGTCGGTTCCACTCATTGTCAAGTAGGTAACGCCAACCAGTAGCTTCTGTTCATAGTCAGGACCAGTCAGTTTCTGAATGAACCACTGACGTTTATGTAGTGATTCATCTCTTGCACCAGCTAATAATAAGATAAAACTGGGCCGTGACTACGAGAGTTGGAGCAGCAAACTAGCTTTCAGTGAACTGTGTGTGTTTTCCAGGTACCTGATGTTCATCATGGTGCTGGTGACGGTGGTTGTGTTGAACTGCGTGGTCGTCCTCAACCTGCACTTCAGGACGCCGAGCACGCACGTCATGTCTGAGTGGACCAAGAAGGTAACGCCAAACGCCACGTAGCATTCGGCCCGTCGGTGGTATCGGCTCTGACTTGCTCAATCCTCTGCATGATTTAAAAAAAAAGAAGAAATGATTTGAGCTGATTTGATTCCAACAGAGCTACAAAGCCGTTGAGGTCAGTTGACGTCAATACAATCCACAACAATGCAGAGTTGTAC